CCTCAGGATTTTCAGAATCATCCTCAAACGGGGACAACATGTGTTTCTTTTGAAACACCGTCTTTAGGTAAGAGCAAAGTCCTTCTCGGGAGCCACGTCCCTTCCAGAGGCCGTGTAACAGCTGCCGGATGCTCCCAAGCTAACGTGTGTCCAAACGTGTCGTGGTTTGGTATTTACCAACAGCTGCCTTGGGGGTCTTGAAGCTGAAACAATGGGAAACTGCCAGGGTATGAAAGAAGGGAGTTTGGATGCTTGCTCCGTTTGGAGGGAAATACTTGAATTTTGGAGAATTTTGGAGAATCTTGGAGCTGGTGTTCTATGCTTGGGTCTGGCTGAGGTCCCTGACCTCCAGGCTCACCTCTGGGAGCAGAAACAGAAATAAATCTGTCGAAGCCAGTGGTTTGAAAGGCATCGAGCACATTCCCTGTGGGGTATTTAGCCCTGAAACACCGATACAACCTGTGAATCAGGTGCTGGAACACCCCTGTGCAGCAAAACGCAGGCTCTAGCCGCAGAGCATCCTTCTCCAGGGAGATTTTCGGCAGCTGGGAGGGATACGCAGGGGCAGAAGTTGTTGGTCTCCTTCCACATGGGTTTGGTTCCTCCTGGGTTTGCACTCGCAGCCGCTGTGGGGGTAAGGAGGAGCTGGCAGCCCATCCCGCCCTCGCAGGTTGCAGCGTATCCTCTAAGGCCGGAGTGGGCCAAATTCCTTGTATTAGCGAAATAAATGCCTCCCTTTAGGCTCAGCCCTTCCTGACCCACCACGTGTCCAGTGAAGGCAACAAGCAGAATGTCACAAAATCAGGATTTAACCCCAGTCCCTCCTTGTGCTCATGCAGGTCCCCACAACAAAACTCTCTCTTCCCCCCCCCCCTTTTGCTCTGATTGCATCCACCCCACAAGCTGGGGGGTATGGTAGAGGCTTTCCCTCTGTTTGGGGCTAAATCCCTGGGTTTTGGGGCTGGGGTTTGCACAGCGCAGGCAGCCAGGGCCGGCTCTGCCCCATTGTGCGGCGCGGCCGGGCTCTCCCCGCGACAAAGGGCCTCTCATCTCCGCCAGCCCTCGAAGATGCTGCTGGAATATAAATACTGACCCCCATCCCCGCTTGCTTTTGCCGAGTCAGTGCTTCCTCAGGCCAGATGGCTCCTCCTGAACTTCTCATATTTTACATACAAATCAACAAAAAATAGGGGGGGAAAAAAAAAAGGGGGGGGGCCGATTACAATCCGTGGTTGTAAAGACCTGCTTGTTTTGCTAAAGCAGCTGTTTAGATTATTCCTTTGTTTCTGTTTTGGGTTTTTCTCCCTTCGTGTGGGCTGTCTCTAGGCAAATTCCTTAAAAAGAGAAAAAGCCGGGAGAAGCCACAAAGCTCTGGGAAAGGTCAGGAGCAGACAAAGGCGGAGGGACACGGCCGCACGCCGCTGCTCTTCTGGAATACTTAATATCTCCGTGCTCCCCAAAGTGTCCCCGCAGGGGTGCGGGGTGCACGGGCAGGATGGGACCCCCAACCCCAGAGCGGAGGCTGGAGGCTGAGCGCTGGTTCGGAGGTAACTGTGACCCCGTGTTGCAACATCTGCTTCCAGGCAGATTTTATTTTTAAATTAATTTCCTCTTCAATCCCCTTCTCGGGGGCAGTTTTGGATCCGGACGGCATCCCACGGCCGTGGTTGGGAACCGGTTGCTGCCAGCACACGGCCCTGTTGCGCCGTCCCGAAGGCAGAACAGCCAAGTGCGATGCCCTGCGTGGCTCTGGCACTGGACATCCTACGGTTTGGGGTGTTTTAAGGCAGAAATAACCACTTTAGTTTGTGTGATGCAGCCCGTAAGGCTCCTGTCAGGAGTGCTGCAGGGAATGGGGCATCCTTTGGGGTCCTGGTGGCGGCACCAGGGATGGAGCATCCTTTGGGGTCCTGGGGTGCAACCTGGGTGCCAGCACCAGGGTGTCCTTGGAGAACCCAGGGCCTGAACCGGGGGGTTGAGATGGAGCATCCTTTGGGATGCCAGGCCCGGGGGGGAGACGAACTGGGAGCCCGAGATAGGGCCTCCTTTGGGGGATCCCCAGTCTTGGCACCCGGGAAGGGGTGGCCCTTGGGATCCTGGTGCCGGGGGTGTCCCCCGGGGTTTCAACAGCGCTCCCCCTGCGCGTACGCTCCGCCCCGCTCCGCCCCGCTCCGCCCCGCTGAGGGGCGGCCCTTCGGGGGGCGCCGGCTGCGGAGCGGCGCGGAACGAGGGACCCGGTGAGTGCGGGCGGGACGGGGCATCCCCACCCTCATCCCCATCCTCATCCTCATGCCGGTCTCCATCCCCGTCCCCGGCGCGGCGGGGGGAGCAGCCCCGGGGCTGAGCCGGAACCACCCCGGAGCTCGGGCGAGAGCGGCGCCCACCCGCGG